GATTTGTGGGGAAAGATTTTCTGAAAGGTCTCTTCAGTTTGATTTATATAGCCTATAAAGTATCTTCTGATTGAAAGTAAGTTTTTATTTCCTTAGATTTGTGGAGCCTTTTTTGGCTTTTAACTAGTAAGCTGATAATAAAAGCGAAACATGCAATGGATTGGAAGTTATCCCGACTTTTGGCACTTCGAAGATCTCTGTAGTTTTAGACTGCTCTAGTCCGATCAAGTTTACTAGAAACAGCTGAAAGGTCTAGCGGTTTGGCGCATTACAGATAATGAAACAGCGAACCAGTAACTGTGGGTTTCAAGGTAACGTCTGGAAGTAAATGCAAAAATGTTCCCAAATTTGGCTAATTTTATGCCCGGTTAATGTAAATTCAACATTTGGTAGTAAATTCAACATTTGGTTAAATCACCACACATTGAAAATCTTATACAACTAGGCATCTACAGTCATAACGAGAGTTAAATATGTATTGGAAATTCATGCAGCGTCCAGGACACAGATGTTCTGGGTCCATACATTGTCGCGTAAAAGGATTGAAGCCACAGAAGTGCGGTGCTAAAGTTCCGGCAACCTTTACTGGTTCCGGCCACACCTCAGGTACTCGACCACTTTTGATTTGTTCCTGAAAAACAGTTAGTTGGCTCATATTACTTTCCGGAATTGAGGGTTCTTCGCAGGAGAATAGCGGAGAAACAGTAAAGTTATCTTTGTTTAAAAGTCAAACGGAAAAATAAAACCTTGAATTATAAAAACAAAAATTTTTGCATTTTTCGTACCCCAGAAACGGCAGAGGTATTAAATTGTGTATTTCTCAGAAATTCTGCTGCCTTCGGCACATTAAAACGATAATTATGAAAAACGGTGATTGATCTGTGAGCATCTTGATCGAATAGTACTAGCTCTCCATTGTTCACCCTCTTCCCTCCACTTTCTTCTGAAAATTCTGTCGCTAACAGTCACTAATTTTTTTTTCGTTCTCAAAGAACCAGTGAACTTTCGTGAGTATGTTTACGAGGAGAATCGGCAATGCCATATAAAATGGGCAATGAGCAAAGAACAGTGCAAATAAACGTTCGGCGTCAGCATTGTTACGGAAGTATCAGGTGGTTTAGATGAGAAAGAAATAATTTGCTGATTAAGGTTGGTTTAACAGGTTTACCAACAAAAAGAGAGGAGCAAAAAGTTGATAAGTGCAGACATGGAGCACCGCTAGCAAAAGGATAACAAAAATTTCCAGAAATTCAAAGAAAAACACTTTTTTCTTTGTATTTTTAGAAATTTATGTTATTTTTTTTACAGTTAATCGGCGAAAAGATTTTTGGCGAGCCATTATACTGGTTTTTTCAGTAAAAAATGTTAACTTTTAAGAATGTCGAATACATTTATTGGAATAAAAGCCTGTGAAGGAAAACAGTGTTTTTCTTTTTTCGGTTACAGCCTCCAACAAAAAAACTATTCATTACCGAGTTAGCTCCATACCAGTGGTTAGGGTAGTACGGCCCCTGAGCGTCAGCTGTAGAGAATAAGATGAAAAGGAATTTGATCAACAAAGTGACCATCTGAAAAGTAACCCCGCAGGCGTCTACGAGCGCTTTTCTGTAAATTAATTAATGCAAGGGAACGAATGCAATGTTTATTGTACAAAATTACGAAATTTAGTGTTTAGCATGAAATAGTGTTGAACAGAGCTTGCAAATGACGATGAGGGAATGCAGTAGAGCAATTTTGAAACTAATCTTTTGGTACCTCAATAAAATAACATAAAATAAGAAAACTAGTTAAAAAATTTTTGCATCTGTACTGACAGATTCCGGGAAAGGCAAAGAGGTTGTGTTGTTTGTCATGAAAACAACTGTTGAAAAGATTGATATTAATACCGACGAAATTGCTCATGCGTACAACATACTGGAAATGTGTCCATCAGAGACAAAAAATTTTCCAAAATAGCAGCAGGCAAAA